TTTATTTATTTTATATATATATATATATATATATATATATATATCCAGATATATTAGATAGTCTAATTAACCTAGTATTGTATATCATGAATATTGTTGGCTCTTTGACAAACTTATTTTATTTTATAATTGTATTTTTATTTTATTTTTTTATTTTATTTATTTTATTTTATTTAGTTCTTCTTTATGTCAAACATTGTTGTGTATATAATGCACTATAAAGATGAACTTGTCGTGCTTAAAACTTATATACATTTGTTATTTATTTTGCATTTTTAGTGACAGAAACAGTGACAGAAAAATTGTTGGCTTTTTGACAAATTTATTTAATTAAATTAATTAATTTATTTATTTTTATTTTATTTAGAATTTATTTATACATTAATTTTTATGCCCATTAATTATTTAACTTGTGGCTTTTATGCTATAAAGATGAAGTTCATTTCTATACATTTCTAGTGATGCTGCAGTTCTGCTCTGAGAATGACGTTCATTAGCAGTCTAATAAACCTGCCATTATGCATTATGAATGTTGCTGGCTCTATGACGAATTGCTTTGTTCCTGTGAGTCTCTTTGGAGAAACGTCCTGTAAATGAAGGGTCTTAGTGCTGCATGGGAAACACATCTGGTGTTTTCAGAGCCTCTTTAATTGTTTTCTATTGTGCAGTGACAGAAATGAAGTAGGTGGGAGTTATATGCAATTTAAAAAAGCATAACAAACATGTCTTTTAAAGCTGTAGATGTGGAAGTATGAACCCGGCATGCTCGCACTCGCCGGGTAATTATGCTCGCGTCTAATAATTACGAGTTTCGAGCGAATTAAAAGATGATTGCATGGAAACACTCAGCGCTCGGCTCACATGCACGTGCTCCGGGGACCTCAACAGATGATTTGGCATTAAATGAATGTGGTATCATCAGATTGATAATGGTTTCTAATGAACTTCCTGAAGTCAGAGCTCAGCCCGCTGCTAAATGACTGATCGGGTTTCGCAGAACCTTCCTCACGGCGTTCGTTTGGTTTACAGCGTGTTTGACACTTGCAATGAGAAAGAAATAAGCAAAGATGTCAAACGTATGAGAGCTTTGACAAATTGTGCTGTTGATGTGCGCGATAATTAAACCAATACTTCAACTCCAGAGCTGAAAACATGCGCAGATTTGTGCTTTAGTCCATTAAGACTGTTAGTGTCCCATATTTAATATTGAATTTTTATACACTACACGTCATGCGGCATCGTATTATACTCCATCACAGAACACTTTCACTTAAAGTGAAGCAAAGGCAGCAGCTCTTCATTATTTAAAAGAACTCATGTTTGTATTCTCTGGTCATTTTGGTCTTTCTTTTTCCTGAAAATGCTCGTTAATGTTACTGCATTCAGTGCTGAGGAGATTACTGATTCCAGATTACATGACAAAAAATATAGCTAGTAACTAATCCATAACATTACACCGTAATATAATCAGACTACTTTTAGATTACTTTTGACCTAACTCGTTTATCACAGTTATTTAAATAGGATAATCTTATATCACCATAGTGACATAAAGATACATAGAGAAAGAAAATATATTGCATTTGTTGTAATTAACAACATGAAGTGCATTAAGCATTACATTACGGTTCGTGAAGGAGCTGCAGGGGGTTCGTGATTTTAATGAAAAGTTAATAATTAAATCATAAAAATGCACAATTAAAATAAATCATTTTAAAATAACATCAATCTATGGAAGCCCGTTTCCGCCACTGAATAAAAAAAAATAAAAAAAAGGTAATTGCGACTTTTTATCTCACAATTCGGACTTTTTTTCTCAGAATTGCGTGATACAAACTCACAATTGCGAGACATAAAGTCGCAATTCTGAGAACATATCAGTCTTTTTTCCCTCTCTCAAAATTGGACTTTATAACTCACAATTGTGAGTTTATATCACGTAATTCTGTGAAAAAAAGTCCGAATTGTGAGATAAAAAGTCGCAATTACCTTTTTTTTATTTTTTTTTATTCAGTGGCGGAAACGGGCTTCCATATCAATCAAAATAAAACAGTTAGAATTACAGAAAATCAATAAATGATTATTAATTTATTGCTATTGTAATAAAAACGTAACTGTAGTCTGATTACGAGTATTTTAAAAAATGTAATGTAATCTAATTACAAGTACTTGATTTTTGGAATCGGATTACATAATCCAGGTTCTGATCGCATTGCAGTGTTATTCTAGGATCATATTGAGATTCAATCTTTTGGCCACTTGTTTTCTCAGTCAGCGCAGGTTTTGTGTTTCCTGATTGATCGTAGGCCTCGTTGATCTGAGCTTCTCTGCGGTTTAGTTTTTGAGCCTAAATTATCCACAAATAATGCTTTTTTCACTCATAAACTGAGGAGCTATTACAAACTATTACAAGCGTTCAGTGTGAAGGGTGTGACAGATGCGGATGCACTATATATTCACTGATTTCACTGAATGTTGTTTCACAGGCATGCAGTCGACGCCGCCGTCATTGGGACGAGCTCCCAGCGTGTCGTCCAGCAGCACCACCATATTCCCACACGGAGAGAAAGGTGAGATGCATGCTGGGAACTCCTCGCTGGTCACATGACCTCGGATCCATCCGTTCTCATTTTATATTAAAGGCACAATATGTACAATTTTTTTATTAAAATATCCAAAAACCACTAGAACGGTGTTATATATTTTGCTGACTTGTGTGCTTACATTATCCCAAATGTTTTGAAGAATGTTTAAATCCAGCGAAATAAGCAATTTTAACTAGTGACACGGAGCGTGTCCATAGTGTCATTGTGTCGCCTGCCAATGACGTCATAACCCCTCGTTTTCATGTTTTGTTTTGTAGAAAACATGGAAACACCGAAGACGCTTTAATATGTTGTGTGTTTTAATAGACCTGTGACGACCGCACAGAGTACCATTATAACAGAACTAAATGTATCTAGTGTGATAAAACAGCACTGCTTTACCCCACATACGCACGACCGGAAGCAGCGGAAGCGCTCGACTGTGGCATAATAAAAGCTCCGCTGCTTTCCAGCCGTGTGTCGCGCTCGTTCAGCGCCTCGTTTCACTTCGACGGCTTTCAGGCTCACCCTGCTTCATTCTACTACGTTAATAAATCATTAGCTCATCCATGAACATGATTTCTGCCCGAGATCATGATAATGATTTCATGATTTCTTTAACACAGCAGATTTACCATGGTTAAGGGGTGTTCGTAAAAACATGGTAAAATAACTGTAACATATGGCCTTATTGCTTTGATAAAAAACTAGCATTATAGAATATAAGAAATACAAGTTGCATTCAGTATTAATAATATAATCATAATAAACAATCGTTTTAAAGGGATAGTTCACCAAAAAATGAAAATTGTCATCATTTACTCGTCCTCATGTCATTCCAGTGTTATTTCAATATTGAGATGCTATTACAGTTTTTATTAATATTTTTTATTAATATTTTCAGTATTATTAATATTTTGAGTATTTGAGAATGTTAAGAGTTTTTATTTTTATATTTCCCATTTTAGTTAACGTTTTAGTAATTTTGTTGTGTGTCGGTTAAAATAAAGTTAAAATAAAGTTAAAATAAATGAAACTGAGAAATGTTAAACTAGCTGAAATAATTTTTTTTTTATGTTTTATATTTTATTTCAAGTAACGAAAAGGTTTTTATGGTTTTCATTTTAGTTAAGTATAACAAAATTGTGTCGTTCCAATTTCTTCTGGGGGAACATAAAAGAAGATATTTAGAAAAATGTTGATAATCAAACAGTTCCGGGTCCCATTGACTTCCATTGTATTTTTTGTCCATATTACATACAAAGTCAGTTTATTAGTGTAATAGCGTTTTTATGGTTGCCAAGCTACATAGAATATTTTACTGTGTTCCAGATCCAACAGGACAAGGTCACCTAGCAACGGCCCTCATCATCGCCATGTCAACCATCTTCATCATGGCCATCGCTATAGTGATGATCATCATGTTCTACATCCTGAAGACCAAACCGAGTGGACAAGGTAAGATCACTAAAACTAAACACACTCATTATCTGTGTGTGAGTGTGTGAGTGCGTGTGTGAGTGTGAGCATGCGTGTGTCTGTGTGTGTGTGTGTGAATGTGTGTTCTTGTTTGGAATATACTTGTGGGGACCAAATGTCCTCACTTATATTGTGAAATACTTTGACACAACCCATTAGTGAGACATCTGACTGGTCCTCACTAGTTCAAAAGACTTACAAATCTGTTGTTGTTGCGAATCCAGTGTTCTGCAGATGTTTCTGTGATGGATAAGTTTAGGGATAGAAGTTGGTTAGCTGATAGAAAATATCATTAACCTGATAGAAAATCAATGGAAGTCTGTGCAATGACCTCACTAAGATAGCTAAACAAACATCTGTCTCTGTGTGTGTGTGTGTGTGTGTGTGTGTGTGTGTGCGTGTGCGTGTGTGTGTGTGTCTTGATCAAAGAAACAAGACAACAGAAGTTGTTGTTGACTAATCATACTACTTCCTGTTTTCCCCAGAGGCGTGTGTGAGTGAGTGAGAGAGTGTGTGGTGTGTGTGTGTGTGAGTGAGAGAGAGAGAGAGTGTGTATGTGTGCGCGTGCGTCTGCGTGTCTGTGTCTGTGCACGTGTGTGTGTGTGTGTTCGTGTGTGTGTGCGTGTGTGAGTGAGAGAGAGAGAGAGTGTGTATGTGTGCGTGTGCATCTGCATGTCTGTGTCTGTGTGTCAGTGTCTGTGCGTGTGTGTGTGTGTGTGTGTGTATGTGTGTGTGTGTGTGTGTGTGTGAGTGTGTGTGTGTGTGTGTGTGTGAGTGTGTGTGTGTGTGTGTGTGTGAGTGTGTGTGTGTGTGTGTGTGTGAGTGTGTGTGTGTGTGTGTGTGTGAGTGTGTGTGTGTGTGTGTGTGTGAGTGTGTGTGTGTGTGTGTGTGTGAGTGTGTGTGTGTGTGTGTGTGTGCGTGTGAGTGAGTGAGAGAGAGTGTGTGCGTGTGCATCTGCGTGTGTGTGTGTGAGTGAGAGAGTGTGTACAGGTATATATGGTTTATGAGGACACAAATGTGTATAATGACATGGGTACTACAAGGTAAACATGGTTTATGAGGACACGTCCTGTGTCCCCGTTAAACAAAAGGCTTAAAAAACAACCACAAATACAAGTATGAGTGTGTGTGTGTGTGTGTGTGTGTGTGAGTGAATGCTCCTCATAATTGATGTGTGTGTGTTCGTCCACAGGGAAGCTCTTCTGACCGCAGTTCGAGTCCTTCTGCTCTACATTTACTTGAGATCATTCCCATATTTCAAACTCTTTCTTATTGCTCCAGACATTAAATCTAACAGAGTGCTTTCTTTCTTTCTTTCTTTCTTTCTTTCTTTCTTTCTTTCTTTCTTTCTTTCTTTCTTTCTTTCC